CCCAACAGCAACAGTGTAGGGATGAGCACGAAATATTGTAAATTAAATCCTGAATGGCGGTTCATGCAGGGAAAAAACATATCAATATTCGCATATTCATTCAAAAACAAAAAAATTCTTAATGGAGTACTTTCATTTTTTATTGAATTCCTAAAAAACAATATTTATAATGAATTTTAATAATTTTTTCGAATTTTTTTTAAGCTTTATTTTGACCGATTCACCCGATTCCCGATCCGGATCGTAGATTCGCCGATTCGGATCGGTTTTTTGGAAGCCCGATCCGGGTTATCGATCCGTTTTTTAAACCATTGGAAAACTCTTTTCTTAGCCCGTTCATCAGCAGTGGAATTTGCTTCTCTATATACATGATGGAATAAGAGCATGTTGCTCGAAGATAAATCCATCACTTTGTGCAACAAATACATGATGGAATACGAGCTCTAAGATAAATCCATCACTTTGTGCGGCAAAAATCAGGGACATTTATTAGAGTTCAATTTTTAAAAGAAAATTGTTTCATGCGGGTTGGGTCATATTTCGACATATGCAGGCTTGGCCCCGTAGAAACTGGGTCCTTTTTTAAATATACACTTGTAATTCCAATGGACCTAGGCCCTATCATATGGATAAAGGCCAGATTGAGGTTCGATCAGGTTAATCATAACCATTCAAAACCCCTATTAAAAAACGACCTTTTAATTTTAATTATTCATTGTTGTAGGGTTAATCCAAAATTTCAGGTCACACAAATCCTCTTAAGCTATGGTGTCTTGCGTGAGGAAACCAATAAACAATTTGCTCCACCAAAACTTTCCTAAGCCCGGGATAATAAAATCCAAATAGCCATCAGAGATGAGGTATTTAACATTCTAAACATATATTTTGAGTGGATCTCAAAAATATGACACGGTCTGGAACAGCTGCAAAAAATATAATGCTAAATAGTTCATTTTTTATGGATACTGATAAATTTCCCCTAATTAAAATCCGATGCTCATTTACATCACAGGGTAAACCACACAGCAAATCAAAGGAGCATTCATCTGTTCACAATAATGGGCGGTGGAGATTTAATTGTACTTTCCATTGACATCCATTCATCCAACAGCTAATCACTAGCACGCATTGCACAACGGTTGATGCACCCTAGTTCAATTGATGTAACACATACAATACAAAATTGGTGTATGGTACCAACAATATTTCTTTGGGTGGGCAAGCTAGGGTTTGAATATTAAACCAGTGTTGAAGTCTGGCCTGACCATTCACATCTAAACCACCTAGAGAAATCATATGATCGCAAAAGAATAAATAAACTTTCATAATATATAGAGGGATTGTATACCATTTATCTTTGTTACAAAGTGTGCTGACCAAAATCTAACGATAATAATGCGATGTGCTAGCGCGCCCCTACCTCCCTTGGGGGTGCATGTGCATCTTTATTTCCAACTCGATCTCACCTAATACGTGTGGATACGCCTTTGGCTTTGCCTTTGTAAGCATATGTTGTCCATTAATGAGTCGTTTGCTTCCTTGGATACGCAAATCCTAGGTTTTTATCAATACCTAGTTTTGTGAATTCTAGTACACGTGAAGCTGATTTTGAGCACAATATTGTTTGACTAGTTGCTTGAAGAACCAAGTATATAAAAAATACTATGTTTGGCGCCATGAAGATGAAAACCAAGTTTTGGTTTTGTTGTTAAGGAAGTTTAGCCATTAATTATATAAGTTGATGATTATGTGCTAATACATAGCCAAAAAAATATATTTTTTGGGAATAAGTTATTAATAATGTAACAAATAATTTAGACGGTTTGGATGGTTTGGATCATATTTTTCGGTTATTTGTATAGGTCGAATTATCTCTCTCTCTCTCTCTCTCTCTCTCTCTCTCTATGTACATGGCTGATGATGAGTTATTCTCAAATTACATCCTATCCATAACACTTCATCTCATTAGAGAATAAAGTAGAAAATGAAGAAGTTAAATACAAATTCCCCAAGAAGTCCAAAATTGTAGTTTGTCTACGTACATGGCCCATGATAAGTTATTCTCAAATTACATCATATCCATAACACCACATCTCATTATATAATAAAGTAGATAATGAAGAAGTTAAATACAAATTCCCCAAGAAGTCCAAAATTTCAGTTTGCATAGGCTTTGATTTTAGGAAAATAATAATAATGAAATTAAATTGCTCTATAGGGTATGCTATGCCATGCCCCCTGCGAAAACTTGATCCATGCACTGCATAGGAGGTAAAACAATGCCGAACGACTTCCCTTCAGCTTCATTAGCCTATACACATGTAATGTGTAAAGGTTCAATAGTTATCCCAACATGAGGGTTTTTTAAGTAAAGAAAGCTATCATTTTCATACATGTGAACGCATACACACTAAATCAGAATGACACAATCAGGCTCGACTCAAACCTTATTCTTACACCATTGTAATTCTCAGAATGCCCCATTTAGGAGTTCTCAATGTTTAGCACACAATCATAAACCTGCAGAACATAGGCAATCTCTAGAAATGAATTTAACGAAAGGTGTTTTTTACATGTAACCAGCCTGGAAATATTATCATTTGCAGTAGCATAAATTATGACTAATTATTTAGTTGTCAGTCTTTGAACACATATATGAGATTCTTGATTTCCATGCAACTGAGAATTAGTTCCTGGTTGCCTATTAATAGGATCTCGATGTCTCTTGCTCTCTAAGGAATGGAAGATGGCTAAGCATTGAACCTTGGACAATTCAGATAACATGTTCAACGCATGAAGTAAATGCCTTATGACAGATCAGCAACTCATGGCTTCGGATTAAAAGCCAACAGTGTTAAATTCATAATGAATTTGCTTGTAAAGTAACAAGAAAAGAATTGTATTCCCAGATAATTTGCCATAATGAAAAGGGTGGGCACCAAGATACACCACCCATTGGAAGTCATAAATGAAACAGAATAACATATGGCTTCTACAGCACTGCTTTCTTGATCGATTTGTATCTCAAATCTGTCACTAGAGACACAAAAGTTTACACAGAAAAAAGTACAATTTAATAATTTTGGTATTCACTCCACATGTAATATTCATTGAGAATTTCTCAGAGATACTCCTTTCCATCCTTCTACGCCACAATCTTCATATTCATGGTTATCTCAAATGGGCTCAAGCAATTTGCAAACATGAGATTGTACTCATTGGGCTCAGAGCTAGAAAGCCAAATGGATTTCGCAGAGTAATTCAAGGGGAGAGAATCAATTGAGATTCTGGTCTCTCTTATGTCTGCAAAGGCTGTTTGGTATGCAAGAAAGAGAAGGAAGAATTGGAGGACATAAAAACAAGGCCGAGAAGATGGAGGAGAAGCCATAAGAAGCATGACAGGATTTGTTCACCGCAAGACCACAAGTAAGATTTTATTGAAAATCAGAGATACATGGATGAGCAGTTGACAAAATTTATGATTTGGGTTCTTCTTCTTTGCTCTTAACCTTGATGTACAAACTGGGAAAGTTGGTATATGCACTTGCAATGCGAACTAGAATCTCAACATCTCTCTCTCTCCCCCTCTCTCACTCTAGAACTATAATATATATAGATCTCGCAGCTTTTTTATGTAAAAATTTCCTCTGAGCTCAGATTTCCTGCTATAGAGAGAGAAGACTAGTAGGGGCTTTAGACACCATTGGCATTGAGCAAGTTGAGAGGGACAAATTTTTCAGAAATACCCAGCAATATTTATGCAAGATCTGTTGTTTAAATAAGAGCACAAACTGTAATAAGATCAGCTTTACTGCAAGGTTAACTAAGATGAGCTTCACTGAAATGTATCACGAATTTCTTAACATAAAATTTGCATCGCAGACCCAAACCAATATCAATTGCGCCTTGAAAGAAAGACCAGATATCAGAGCATACCAATCAATAACAAATGAAAAATACTCGATACTGAAAATGAACGATGAATATCACCAGCAATACAACAGTTTCAATAAAAACTACATAAAACCACAAAAATTCAGGAGGAAGAACTAAAAAAAA